CGCACCCCTCCCCTCCTCCTCCTCCTCCTCCTCCTCCTCCTCCTCCTCCTCCTCCTCCTCCTCCCCCCAGCGAACCACAAGCATCCACACTTGGATAGGGCAGCAAGCAAGTGCTCGGCTCGACCTTGTCGCCGCCTGGGGGCCTGCGGTGGACCGGCACTGGGCCGGGCCAGCAGGGAGGGGCGGGCACGTCCGAGGCTCCTGGGCTCGGGAAGGATTTCTGCCTGTTTCGGCATCCGGGTGCCGTGTTCGAGCGCCCAGACAGATCTCCGTCCACGCAGTCAGCGCAGGGCGGAGAGCCCTGTAAGCATGCGCAGCGGCAACAGTGGGATATCCTAACGCGACATGTTGCACACGGTACTTATGATAACAGCGGAAACGAATACAGGGTGAAGCATTGCACCAGATCGACCCCGGGAGGGGTCCAGAGACAGATGTTGAGCGGATGTGGCACCAACCCGCCGCTCCTGACCGATGTTCTGCGGTTCCGACCGGTTCAGACGCCCTGGCTGCCTCCGATCTAGATCGTTTAATTTTGGCGTTCGATATTCGCACACACGTAAGCGAGGATGTGTGTGTGTGTGTTTACTTTTTGATGCTACTGGAGAGTCCTCCTTTACATTCTTCTTGAACTTGGCGAGGTGCAGGGAAGATCGACGGTGCTTATCACAAAAACCAGCATGCAGGGGCCCTTGGCATTGGGCGGTCAACAAATCGCGGGAGGGTTCCGCAGTGGTCGCCTTTTCAAGCACAATCTGCATCGTACGTTGTCATCACCGATCGGTTTGAACAGGCATGAAATTACGGCCAAGGCACTCGAAACAGACGAATCCGTTTGGCAAACGACGCAAGGCCACCGATATGATAGAAATGGACCGTTCGCGGTGCCATAGAATTGGCTAGGAGGTGGTATCCGAGAATGTCGGCCACCTGTATATCATGAGTTTCGCATCGCGCGAAGAGATCGGCCAAAGCGTTGCCATGATCAGATGTCCAGCTGTCTCCGTCGAGTCCACTGTCACGTGACTCTTTGTGCGAAGTGATTTGAAAATATGTTATTTCTCCATGACCAAGGTAAGTGCAAACGATCACCTTCCAAATGCTCACAACGCTTGATGATGGATATGCAAGCTGTGCTGATCAGGACTGCCCTTCCCGTGCAACGCAGAGGTGGTCACAACAATGGGCTGCGATCGTTCTGTGAGGTATAGGGCTCGAGATGCATCATATCGATCTGCACGTGGTTCACTTGATTCTTTCATGAACGCCTCAAGAAGCAGCTTGCAGTTGCCACCCAGTCAATGGGCATAGCGCTGTCACTGCCCAGGCATAGCGGTATCACTGCCCAATCCGTGCGAACAAAAGTAGGATCAGCATTTGCTATCGCGAGCCGTCGGTGCACATTCTTGGTTCCCACTCCCCATCAGCATCACCCCACGAATGTCTCGGTGGGTCCGGAAACCGTTGTCTGGACTGCGCAGGATCCATGAAGATGCGGTACCAAATTTCGAAGGACCCAATGTTGCCCATGTCGTTGACCATCATCTCCCGCTGCAGTTCTCGACCTTCGAAGATAAAGTCGGGCACGTCTTTGGGGACGAGCTCTTGGTGCTGCAGCAATGCCTCGCGCTCGTGCCACTGCTGCCTGAGCGTGCCTTTGGCACCTCCACAGTATATGCACCCGCTTGAGCTCTCGGAGGCGCAGGTCGGCAGCACGATCAGGCCATAAGAGAGTTCTGGGCCGCAGCTCGCCAAGAGCACATCACTGACTACATTTGGAGTCCCGAAACGGTGCGGTGACAGGCCGTGCGGTGACCTCGAGATGCTCCAAGATATCACCGCACGGTCCGTCAACGCACGGTTTTGGAACCTCGGATGCCCCAGTCGCCCGAGACGTCCTCGGAGAACGGCCCGAGTCCCAAAACCGTGCGGTGACCCCGAATCCCCACCGACTCACCACACGGTGTGGTATACCAGCAGGTACTATGTAGATGGATCGGTGCACGGCTCGGCGCCACAATTGTCCATCACCAGATGTTCAGGCAAGCATCGCAGGATAGACGGAGTGAGGAGCGAGGATGGAGAAGGGAGGAAGGGTGACGGATGTTCGTGGATGCATTTGGCCGCCGCAGTGCACGTGGCGAGGAAGGGTGAGAAATGATGAGCAGGCAGAGTAAGAGGAGGAGGAGTTAGAGGAGGAGGAGGAGGAGGAGGAGGAGGAGGAGGAGGAGGACGACGACGACGACGAGAAGGAGGATGAGGGCAGAGGGGCTGAGGGAGGAGGCAGGAGACAGGAGGCAGGAGGGAGGAGGGAAATGGCGAGATTAGATGGCAGGATGGAGCAGGCGAAGGCGGAGGCGGAGGAGAAGGATGGAGGAAGTGGGAGGAAGCGGGAGGAGGAGGAGGAGGAGGAGGAGGAGGGATGAGAGGGAGGAGGAGGAGGAGGAGGAGGAGGAGGAGGAGGAGGAGGAGGAGGAGGCCCGCGTTGGAGAACGCAGCGGCGAGAGAAAAAGATGAGAGGAGAGGCGAGGAGGAGGAGGAGGTAAGGGGAGGAAGAGGAGGAGGGAGGAGGAGGAGGAGGAAGAGGAGGAGGAGGAGGAGGGGAGCAGGAGGGGGAAGAAGAGGAGGAGGTGGGGGAAGTGGGAGGAGGCAGGAGGGGGTGGGCGGATGAGGAGGAGCAGCATGATCAGGAGGAGCTGGAGCAGATAGGTGTACGGGAGAAGGGTCGCTGCGGGTGAGGAGGCGGGCGACGCGACCCGGTGCCTGACAGTGGTGCCCTTGGACGGCCTCAGGCAGCTCCTGCAGGATCCAGCGCTGTCGTCGTCCTCCCTCTCGTCGTCGACCTCCCCGTCTGCCTCGTCCTCCCCGTCCGCCCTCCTCCCTCTCTCTCTCCCGACGCTTGTTCGCCTCCTCTTCCTCCTCCTCCTCTCGCCTCCCCTCCTCCTCCTCCTCCTCCTCCTCCTCCTCCTCCATCCCCTCCCCTTGTAAACAACTCTTCCCTGTCGCACATCCCCAGACGTGTCTGTAGGGCGGACCGGACGTTTTGCCCGAGACTTGCTCGCTACTCATGATTCTGAAGATTGAATTTTACAATCGCCTCACGAATGGAGGGCGGGCCCTTTTTGAAATGTGGCTCTCGCCTCAGCGCCGCGCACATTCCCTTTACTAGTTTGCAGGGGTTTCACGGATGGAGGACGGGTCGGTTTCAAAATGTGGTTCTCGCTCTACCGCCGCGAACATTCATATTTCACAGTTTGCAGCAGCTTCGAGGACGGAAGACAGCTCCTTTATGAAATGTGACTCTCGCCTCAGCGCCGCGCACATTCATCTGAGATATGTAGAACAGCTTCACGGTTGGATGGCAGGTGGTTTTGAAAATGATGTCCTCGCCTGAGCGCCGCGCACCTTCGTCTCTGGAAGTGTGCAACAATTTCACGGGCAAAGGGCGGGTCGTTTTCAAGATGTGGTTCTTGCCTTACCGTCGCGAACATTCGCATTCGTGTTAAAAGTTTGCAGCAGTTTGGTTGATGGAAGGCGGTTCCTTTTCAAAATGGTGCTATCGCTTCAGTTCCGCGCACATTCCCTTTACTAGTTTGCAGGGGCTTCACGGATGGAGGAGGGATCGGTTTCAAAATGTGGTTCTCGCTCTACCGCCGCGAACATTCATATTTCACAGTTTGCAGCAGCTTCGAGGACGGAAGACAGCTCCTTTTTGAAATGTGACTCGCGCCTCAGCGCCGCGCACATTCATCTTAGCTATGTAGAACAGCTTCACGGTTGTATGGCTGGTGGTTTTGAAAATGATGTCCTCGCCTGAGCGCCGCGCACCTTCTTCTCTGGAAGTGTGCAACAATTTCACGGGCAAATGGCGGGTCGTTTTCAAGATGTGGTTCTTGCCTTACCGTCGCGAACATGTTCATTCGTGTTAAAAGTTTGCAGCAGTTTTGTTGATGGAAGGCGGTTCCTTTCCAAAATAGTGTTATCGCTTCAGCGCAACGCACATTCCCTTTACTAGTTTGCAGGGGCTTCACGGATGGAGGACGGGTCGGTTTCGAAATGTGGTTCTCGCTCTACCGCCGTGAACATTCATATTTCACAGTTTGCAGCAGCTTCGAGGACGGAAGACAGCTCCTTTTTGAAATGTGACTCTCGCCTCAGCGCCGCGCACATTCATCTTAGATGTGTAGACCAGCTTCACGGTTGTATGGCAGGTGGTTTTGAAAATGATGTCCTCGCTTGAGCGCCGCGCACCTTCGTCTCTAGAAGTGTGCAACAATTTCACGGGCAAAGGGCGGGTCGTTTTCGAGATGTGGTTCTTGCCTTACCGTCGCGAACATTCGCATTCGTGTTAAAAGTTTGCAGCAGTTTGGTTGATGGAAGGCGGTTCCTTTTCAAAATGGTGTTATCGCTTCAGCGCCGCGCACATCCCTTTAAACATTTGCAGGGGCTTCACGGATGGAGGACGGGTCGGTTTCAAAATGTGGTTCTCGCTCTACCGCCGCGAACATTCATATTTCACAGTTTGCAGCAGCTTCGAGGACGGAAGACAGCTCCTTTTTGAAATGTGACTCTCGCCTCAGCGCCGCGCACATTCATCTTAGATGTGTAGAACAGCTTCACGGTTGTATGGCAGGTGGTTTTGAAAATGATGTCCTCGCCTGAGCGCCGCGCACATTCGTCTCTAGAAGTGTGCAACAATTTCACGGGCAAAGGGCGGGTCGTTTTCAAGATGTGGTTTTTGCCTTACCGTCGCGAACATTCGCATTCGTGTTAAAAGTTTGCAGCAGTTTGGTTGATGGAAGGCGGTTCCTTTTTCAAAATGGTGCTATCGCTTCAGTTCCGCGCACATTCCCTTTGAAAGTTTGCAGGGGCTTCACGGATGGAGGACGGGCCGTTTTCAAAATGTGGTGCTCGCTCTACCGCCGCGAACATTCATATTTCACAGCTTGTAGCAGCTTCGAGGACGAAAGACAGCTCCGTTTTGAGATGTGGCTCTGGCTTCAGCGCCGCGCGCGTTTGTCTTGAATGCTTACACCCGTTGCGAAGGTTCGTATGGTTTGAGGATCAGGGATGGCGTTCTGGAAGGATTTGGGGGGTTGGCAGATCGCAACATTCACATCGATTCGCGGTGTTGAATTCCCAGGAATGGTGTCTTGGCACGGTTAAAAATTATCAGGGCGCAACAGCCACGCTCATTCGCGGCGTTGAAGTCAACAAAAAGGTGCGATGGCACATTGGGAGTTCTCAGACGGTGGTGCTCCGATAGGGTATTTTGCGAAACGAAAGTTGGTTCCCGTAAGGACCTATGAAGACGGAACTTGGAGGGAGGGTGTATTACAATATCATTGGTGCGCCTTGACTTTACATTGGTCCCCATCCTTTTTCCTCATGAGTCGCTCCTCCTTGTCGCACCCCCCAATGCGTGTCCGCAGGGCCGGCTGGGCATTTCGGTTGATAATCTCTTACCGCTCAGGATCTTGAAATTTGAAATGTGCAACACTTTCAAGGCTGGAGGGCGGTCCGTTTCCAACATGTGGCTCTCGTTTTATTGCCGCGTACATTCGCCGACCATAGCTTGCAACGGTTTCAAGGATGGATGGCGACTCCGTTTCTAAATGTGGTTCTCGCCTTAGTGCCGCGCACATTGTGTCCTAGAAGTTTGCGACACTTTCAAAGATGGAGAACAGCTCCTGTTCGAAATGTGGCTCTCGATCCAGCGCCGCTCGCACTCGCGTTTCTAAGCTCACAGCAGGTTCAAGGGTTCGTGTGGTTGAAGGATCAGGGATGGTGCTCTGGAAGGATCAAGGGTTGTCAGAGCGCAACAGTCACGTCGGTTCCCAGGAATGGTGTTCTGGCACGGCTTAGAATTACCAGGGCGCAACAGTCGTGCTCATTCGCGACGTTGAAGTCCAAGGGACGGCGTGCTGGCACGTTTGGTGGTTCTCAAACGTTTGCTTTCCAACAGGGCAGCTTCCGCAATGTAAATGATATGTTCCCATAGGGATTTCTGAAGGGGGAGTTTGGAGGGAGGGTGTATTGCAACATCGTTGATGCGTGTTGGGTTCGCACTGGTGTTTCTCCTTCTCCTCATCGTGCTGCTTAACCGAATATGCAGGGTGGGCCCTTTCCCAAGTCCGTGCTTCGGTGCGGCTCGTCTGCGCGCCTCGTCTCCGTCGTCGTCGTCGTCGTTGTCGTCGGCGTCGTCGCGGTCGTGGTGCGTGCTGCTTTGCTCGGGACTTGTTTCCCTTATGCAGTGGCCACTGCATCGTCCTCATTATCGTCCTCGTCCTCGTCCTCATCATCTTCATCATCGTCCTCATTAGCATCATCGTCATTATTATCCTCATCCTCTCCCCATTATTACCCTCATTCTCCTCATTATTATCATTATCATCCATCTTATCCTCATCCTCTCCCGTTCTCATCACCGTCTTCAGTATCATCCTCATCCTCCTCCCCCTCTCCACTCACGCAGCGCTCCCGAGCGTACACTGGAGCCTCGCAGAGCCACGAGCGGCTCCTCCCCCTCCTCCTCCCCCTCCCCCTCCTCCCCTCCTCCTCCCTCCTCCTCCTCCTCCTCCTCCCTCCCTCCTCCTCCTCCTCCTCCCTCCTTCTCCTCCTTCTCCTCCTCCCCCTCCTCCCCCTCCTCCCTCCCCCTCCTCCTCCTCCTCCTCTCTCTCCTCCTCCTCCTCCTCCCTCCTCCTCCCCCTCCTCCTCCTCCTCTCCCTCCCTCCCGATGTTCGCCGTCGTCGTCCTCCGCCTCCCGCTCCCCCTCCTCGTTCGCTTCTGGGGGAGTTTGGTCGTCGCTTTCCTCCTGCTACTCGTCGTCGTCGTCGTCAGCCTCCTCTTGTCTGCGTTTCTCTTCCTCTTCCTCCAGGAGGGGGGAGGAGGAGGAGGAGGAGGAGGAGGAGGAGGCGGAGGAGGAGGAGGAGGAGGAGGAGGAGGATGAGGAAGAGGAGGAGGAGGAGGAGGAGGAGGAGGAGGAGCACGCGAAGGCAACATCGTGAGCATCACCACCAGTGTCACCACCGCACCACGGTCACCACGAAAGGGGGCGGGGGAGGAGAGGTGCACCTCTTGTGCCCCAAAGGGACCCTATAAGGTAGCCCCCCGGTGCCCCAGAGTGGCACGAAGGGTGCACATTCGCGCGCAAGGTGCCCGCGCAAGGTCGCGCGCAGGCGCCCTCATTACCAGTGTGGCGTGCCGCGCCCGCGGCCCGCGCAAGCCGCCGCGCTCTGTCGCCATGCCCTCTCGCGCAGGGCCCGTTTCTTCTCGCCGCTCATCTACAGGCGGCCCGGATTAGTAGCTCGACCCTGCCAGATCAAGGGTACCCTCGTGTCTTGTGTCTGGCGACCCATGCCTCCCGCATTCCTGTGGCAACGTGGCCCTCGGAAGGGTCTTGTGTCCTCCCGCGTGTCCCCTCCGATCGCGTCCGACTGCATCGCCCCCCCGTCAACCGACGCCCAGGCAGTGCCCAGGGGGGGTCACCGCGACGCGGGCCGCACGCTCCCCCCCGTCGGGCAGCTGTAGGTGGTGCGCCCGCCCCCGGAGCCCGACCCCCGACGGTGTCCCCGGAGGTCCCCGCAGGCCGGGCAGTGCTACAGCCAGGCCGCTCAACGGCACCGTAACGGGTACTTACTAACGGGTACTTTGAAATTTCGCCGAAAGTTGCCACTTTAGGGCCTTTTTCTTGCATTGCAGCTTTGCCCACATCGGGAAGGGTTGGGTTCGCTGGGTCACTGGCCAAAGTACCCGTTAGTGGAGTCCCCGTTTGAGGGGCGTTGAGCCGCTGAAGAAGGAACCCATTTCGTTAGGGAGGGGCTCGGCATTCCCGAATTTTACGTTGCAGCTTGTCTCAGGTGTTCGTCAGGTTTTCTGTGTGAAATCGAAGGTTAACCTGCGGAAAGAGAGGAGAGACCCCGTTGACAGCGCTTCGATTGCAAGGGGGTGCACCACTCGGGGGGGGGGGGGGCACCACCACCTCCTCCTGGGGATTGAGATTCCAGGATCGACGAACGCGGAGGCGTTCGGACGCTCGGTGTCGTTTCGGGAGGCTCTGGAGTGTCCTGGGGGGGCCATTTCCTAAAGGAAATGGCGCTTCCTCGAGGCAGTGGCGACCCCCCCACATCATCATCTTCGTCATCACCATCATCTTCATCTTCATCATCATCATCATCATCATCATCATCATCATCATCATCAACAACATGAGCATCATCACCCTCCTCCTCCTCATCCTCCTCATCTTCGGCCCGATCCTTACACTTTTCTCACGCCCCACCCTGCTCCTCATACGGATACTCTTGATCCTCTTGCTTCTCATGTTTTTCCCCTGGCTTTCTGACGCCGTCTTGTATGGCCTGGCGCTTGTCAGAACGAGCGTGCCCCGCGGCCTTTGAGGAGCTCATGCGGGATCAAACCGCATCCATAATCCGGGAGATCAGGGTGGATATGGAGATGCAGGCGGGAGCGTTCCTCATCCTGTTGCTCCTCGTCCTCGTGCACCTCTTCATCATCCTTGTGTTCATCCTCGTTATCGTTCCTTCTCGTGTGTCTCCTCATCATCATCCTCCTTCGCCCTCTTACTCCTGCCCCTCCTCCGACTCCAATTATTACTCTGTATCCTTTTTCCTGGCCTCCGCATCATCATTCGACGTCTGTTCGTCGCGCTTATTTGTATGCACAGACCTACACGTATAAAGAATGGATAGTATGTATGTTCATCCTCCCCCTCCTCATCCTCCTCGTTCCGAACTTCTCGACGATGCCCTTTCTTTGTCCGCCACGGCTGGACACAATTCGAGGGTGGGTGGGATGGAGGAGATGGAGGAGGTGGAAGTGGAGGAAGAGGAGGAGGAAGAGGAGGAGGAAGAGGAGGAGGAGGAGGAGGAGGAGGGAGGAGGAAGAAAGGGAGGAGGAGAAGGAGGATGAGGGGAGAGTGGAGGAAGAGGCTGGAGGGAGGACGGATATCGAGAAGGAGGAGGAGAAAGAGGGAGAGATGTTGAAAAAGGAAGAGGGATGTTATCCCCTCCTCCTACCCCTCCTCCTGTCTCTCCCCCCCATCCCGTTCTTCTCCTTCCCTTTCTACTTCCCGTTCCCGCCTCCCTGCCTCTCCAACTCACGTCCTGCCTCCCTCCTGCCCTTCCTGCCCTCCTGTCTCCACTGCCTCATCCTTCGATCCCTCCGACCTTCCTCCCTCCACCCTCGTTTTCTCGACGCTCTGCCCCTCCGTCTCCCCTCCCTCCTCCCACCCATCTATCCGTCCCCTCCCTCCCCTCCCTCCCTCCCGTCCCCTACCCACCATCGCCCCTCCGCCCCCCTGCCCTCCCCCGCCCCATCCCTCGCCTCCCTCGCACCCCACTCCCTCGCCTCCCCCCCCTCCCCCCCTGGAGCGAGCGCCGCTCCCGACTGACATCAGGCACAGGGAGCGCTCGGCGGACGCCGCCCGGGGCGGGCGGGGCTGCCCACGCCCGCCCCCCGGCGACGCAGGGAGGCGGGCTGTGCCTCCGCCGCCTCTTGGCCGCAGCACGAGTCGGAAGTGCCCCCCCCCCCCCCCCCGGGCGCTCCTCGGCCCGGGAGGGCGCCCAGAGGTGGCCGCCGCGAGAGGAGTTCCACGCAGGGGCCCGCTCCCTGGCAGGTTCCGGGCGCTTCGTGGGGGGGGGGGGGGGGAGGTCCGAGCCTGATATCACTGGCGATCCCGAAGAGCTCCACGGCCACTTCCCAGGCCCTCCTAGGACTCCTGGGCACGTCCACGTGCTCCTGGGGGCTCGCGCCCGGCGCTGCCCGAGGCTCCCAGGGACTCCTTGGCGCTCTCTGTGAGCCCCGACGTGCCTCGAAGACCCCCCTTGGCACGTTCAGTTCTCCTCGGCGCTCCGCGCGCGGGAGGTCGCGCCCGAACGCCTCCCAGGCGGCCTTGACCACGGCCATGCGCCCCCTGGCGCTGCCAGAAGCTCCAGGGCAGTCCCTGGCTGCCCCCATGGCCGCTCCCAAGCGCATCCCAAGCACTCCCCAGCACGTCTCGGGCCGGACGAAAGGAGGGAATTGGGAAAGGGGGGTTACGAAATTTGCTGCATGCAGCTGGTTTCGGCCCCACCGAGGGGCCCATTCCTCTATACATGGCCGCCTCCCGGCGCCGGGAGGCGCCAGGAAGATCAGCTACGTGAGCTGATTTTCAAACCCCTCCTTTGCTATCCCCCCCTTTCGCCCGACCCGAACGTCCACGCATCTCCAGAGCATTCTGGGCTCCGCTGGAACCCTGAGCCAATATTTGTGCTTGCGTGTGTGATCGACCTCGGTAATTTAGGACCTCGCGCGGCCCGCTCGGACCCTGACACGCCGTCGGCGCGCTCGCCTGCGGCTGGTAACAAAAAGTGTGATCGGCCTCCCCTGGCCGCTCCCAAGCGCATCCCAAGCACTCCCCAGCACGTCCACGCATCACCGGAGCATTCTGGGCTCCGCTGGAACCCTGCTCCAATCTAACTGTGCCTGCGTGTGTGAGATCGACCTCCTCGGGCCGGTGGTCGCTTCGTCCTCGCCTTCCTCCCCGCCCTCTTCGCCTATATATATGTATATATACATACATACATACAAACATACATATACATATACATTCAGGAGGGAAAAAACACAGACAATGCATCGTCGATCCCCAGGAGAATATGGAAACATATGGGAAGTCGGGGGGAAGACAAAGACCCTTAAGATGTTAGAAAATATGGGGGATCTTCTATATATATATATGTGTGTATGTATTTGTGTGTGTGTCTGTGCGTGTGTGTCCCAGGGCCCCTTCACATATGGCATATGGCGATACCCCTTCTCTGAGCCCAGCGCGCGCGGGGCCCCGGCCGCTGCACGTGATGTTCTCCGCCTCGGCGCTGCGCGCGAGGCGTGCGTGTGTGCGTGTGTGCGTGTGTGCGTGTGTGCGTGCGTGCGTGTGTGTTGGTGTTTGTGCTCGTGTTTTTTGTTTGTGTTCGTGCTGATGTGTGTGTGTGTGTTTGTGTCTGTGTGTGTTGATGCTTGTGCGTGTGATGTGTGTTTGTGCTTGCTCTTGTGTTCGTGTCTGTGTTTGTGCTTGTGCTTGTGTTCGTGCTTGTGTTCATGATTGTGCTTGTGGTTGTGTTTGTGGTTGTGGTGATGATTATGTTTGTGTTTGTGTGTGGTAGTGTTTGTGTTTGTGTGTTTGCTTGGTGATTGTGCTTGTTGTTGTGTTTGTGATTGTGTGTGTGGTTGTGCTTGTGCTTGTGTTTGTGGCTTTGCTTGAATGTGTGTTTGTGTTTCTAGTTGTGGTTGTGGTTGTGTTGTTGTTTGTGTCTATGTTTGTGTTTGTGGGATGCGTTTTTGTGTGTGCTTGTGTTGAAGGAGGGGTGCCCTCCTCCCCCCATCACTCTGCGCGGCCGCCCGCGTCCTGTGTTTTTGTGTGTATGTCTGTGTGTGTGCCTGTGTCTGTGTGGCCGTGTGTGTGTGTTTCTGTGTGTGTGTCTGTGTGTCTGTGTTTCTGCGTGTCTGTGTGTGTGCCTGTGTGTGTGCCTGTATGTCTGTGTGTTTGTCTGTGCGTGTCTGTGTGTGTTTGTGTATGTGTCTGTGTCTGTGTCTGTGTGTGTGTCTGTGTGTGTCTGTGTGTGTCTGTGCGTGTGTCTCTGTGTCCGTGGCCGCGGCCGTGTCCGTGTCCGTGCCCGTGTCCATGTCCGTGTCCGTGTCCATACCCGTGTCCGTGTCCGTGCTCGTGCCGTGTCCATGTCCGTGTCCGTGTCCATGTCCGCGTCCGTGTCCGTTTCCGTGTCCGTGTTTGTGTTTCTGTGTGTCTCCTTTCTGTGCCTATGTTTCTGTGGCTGTGTATCTTTGGCGGTGGCTGTGACTGTGGATGTGTGCCTGTGGTTGTTTCTGTTGCTGTGGCTGCGGCTGTGTCTGGGTCTGTGGTTGTGGCTGTAGTTGTGGTTGTGTCCGTGGCTGTGTCTGTGTCTGTTTCTTTGTTCGGGCCTGTGTGTGTATCTCTGTTTGTGTATGTGTTTGCGTCTGGGCCTGTGCTTGAGTCTGTGTCTGTGTGTGCTTGTGTATTTCTCTGTGTTTTTGTCTGGGCCTGGGTCTGGGTATATGTGTCTGTGCCTGTGTCTGTGGCTGTGTCTCTGTCTCTGTCTCTGTCCGTGTTCCCGTGCCTGTGCATGTGCCAGTACCTGTGCCTGTGCACGTGCATGTGTGTGTGTGTGTCTGTGTCTGTGTGTGTGCCCGTGTCAGTGCTTGTGTCTGTCCCTGTGTGTGCCTGTGTCTGCGTGTGTTTGCGGGTGTGCCTGCGTGTATGTATGTTTATGTGTGTGCCTTTGTGTGTGCTTGTGTGTGTGTGTCTGTGTGTGCCTGTGCGTGTCGGTGTGTGTGCGTGTGTGTGTGTGTTTGTGTGTGGTTGTGTGTGTGGCTGTGTGTGGCTGTGTGTAGGTGCGCGTATGTGTGTATGTGTGTGTTTGTGTGCGCGTGTGTCTGCAAATGTGTGTGTGTCTGTGTATATGTGTGTGTCTGTATGGATGTGTCTCTGTGTGTGTGTCTGCGTGTGTGTCTGTGTGTGTGTCTGTGTGTGTGTGTCTGTGTCTGTGTGTGTCTGTATGGATGTGTCTGTGTGTGTGTCTGCGTGTGTGTGTCTGTGTGTGTGTCTGTGTGTGTGTGTCTGTGTCTGTGTGTGTCTGTGTCTGTGTGTCTGCGCGTGTCTGTGTTTACGTGTGTGGTGTGTTTGTGTGCGTGGGTGTGTGCGTCGGCACGTTCGACTAAGTCCGCTCGCAATTGGCACCTCCCTCCATGTGCCGACCGCGCCTGAGGTCCCTCTGCGCCGCCGGCTTACAAGCGCGTGTGTGTGTGTGTGAGAGTGTGTGTGTGTGTCTGTGTCTGTGCCTGTGCGTGTCGGTGTCTGTGTGTGTCTGCGTGTGTGTGTGTGTGTTTGTGTGTGGCTGTGTTTGTGAGGCGTTGGGACAATGTGTGTTTGCGTGTACGTGTGCGCGTGTGTGTGAATGTGTGTGTTTGTGTGTGGTTATGGTTAGGTTGTGGTTGTCGTTGTCGTTATGCCTGTGGTTGTCTTTGCGTGTGTTTGTGCGTGTGTGTGTCTGTTGTGTGTTTGCGTTTGTTTGGGTTTGTGTGCGTGTGTATGTGTATGTATGTGTGTGATTGTTGTTGCGATTGTGTTTGTGATTGTGTGTGTTTGTGTTTGTGATTGCCTTTGTGTGTGTGTGTTTGTGTGTCTGTGTGTCTGTCTGTATGTGTGTCTATGTGTGTGTGTGTGTGTGTGTCTGTGTGTCTGTGTGCGTGCTTGCCTGCCTGCTTGCCTGCCAGCCTGCGTGTGCATGTGCAAACGTGTGCGTGTGCGTGTGTGTGCGGCTGCGTGCGTGTGTGATCGAGGGTCGGGCCCATCTCTTCGAGCTCCCCGCCCCACCAACGCGGACGCGGCGCAGCGAGCGCAGCGAGGCGCAGCCAATCGCGGAGCGAAAAGCTCACCGATGCGATACGACTGCGTCGCCGCGCACGACTCGACGCGCTGCCCAGATGGCGGTTTCGCCGTGTTGCCAGCCCTTCGGGCAGCGAGGCGCCGTCAGTCGCGGAGCGAGAACCTCAGCTCGCGCAAAAGAGGACCACTCGCGCCATGGGCCGCTTTCCGCTTGATGGGGGGGTGCGGGCGGGTGAAGCGCTAGGTGCGGAGAGAAAGCTCTCCCCCAGGCGGGGGTTGGCACACGTGCGCGTGCCCACTCTGCAATTGGGCATGGTATGTGTTCCCCTCTTGCCTCCCCACTGCATCCCTTCGCTCATCCCATCCTTATCACCCGGCCCTTCCACCAATCCATCACTGCATTTGATTCGTTTGCCCTCCGTTTCCCTCTTCTCGCCCCCTCCCTCTTCCCCCGCCCCCTTCTCCTCCCCGCCCTTCCATTCCTCGCCCCCCTCCCCTCTACACCGTTTCGTCATTCGTTCCATCCCTTCCTCCCCCTCCCCGCCCCTCCCTCCCTCCCTCCCTCCCCCTTCCCCCAGTTAAACCCCTCCCTTCGTCTCCCCCTTCCCGTCCCCATCCTCGACACACAGCTCGCCCCCTCGATTTTCTCCCCTCCCCCCTGCCGACCCGCAGGAAGCTCCGAGGGACCTCTCCCGACATTCTGGACAGGAGCGCGGAGCTTGCGACAGGGCACGCGGGCCTGCCAAGAAGGGCCAGCGCAGACGAGAGGGCGCGGGAGGTCCCTCCTCCCCCTCCTCCCCCTCACCCTCATCATGCTCGTTATTGTTCTGCGCCCTCCTCCTCGTCCTCCCAGTCCAAGTCACTCCCCCATCCATTCTCGTTGTCTCATCACCGGGAGCACCTCGCCGTGACTTGGCCAGGACTGCCCACGCCGACCAGGGTGCGCGTCACCGCCCGCTCGCTTGGAAAGTCGGGCCTGGCAGCCCGCGAAGCCAGCCACGCGGCCACGGGCGCGAAGCGGCAACAGAAGGACCAGTACGGCGATTCGGTCCGGGCTTTCGCGCTTGGGACCCTGAGGCTGGCTCGGCCCCGCCGCGCGGCGTTTCGTGGCGGAGGTCGCCACCGCTGCGCGGCGCAGCGCGGCCCTCCCAGGCGAGCCTCTCGGCCGCCTCGGCACGGATTTCGCGCGGCAGGTGTCCGCCAAGGTGCCCGGCGCCCCCACGGCGCGCCCGGCCGACCTGCTGCTGGCGGCGACGCTTCCAGACGCTGCTCCTGAGGACGCGCGCAGGCTCTCTTGAGTAGCATCCCGTTTACTTTCTGATGCCGCCTCGTGTCGGGTGCCGCGCTCTCAAGGGATCGCGTTACCATCAGCATCAACAGCACCACCACCACCACCACCACCACCATCATCATCATCATCATCATCATCATCATCATCACCATCAAGAACAACAGCAACGAGACCATCATCATCAGCAGCATCCTCACCATTACCACCATCACCACCAACAACAAAAGCAGCAACAACAACAACGACAGTATTATGGCATGGGACTCCCGTGGGCCACTCTCTTGGCTCATTTTGATGGCATCTACTTCGCGTTCATCCTCCTCCTCCTTCTTTCTTCGTCCTTCTTTAAAGGATTGCGACTTGATTTTCTTTTGTGGCGGACTCCAAATTGATTCCTTTTGTGGCGGATTACAGATGGACTCCTTGTGCCAGATTACAGTCGATTCCTTTTGTGGCGGATTACAAACTGATTTCTTTTGTGAAGGATTACACATTGATCCCCTTTTGTGGCGGATTAGAAATTGATTCCTTTGTGGCGGATTACACATTGATTCCTTTTGTGGCAGATTACAAAGGGAATCCTTCCGTGGCGAATTACAAAGGGAACCCTTTTGTGGCGGATTACAAAATGATTCCTTTCGTGGCGGGTTACAAAAGGAATCCTGTTGTGGCAGATTACAAATTGATTCCTTTTGTTGCGGATTACAAAGGAAATCCTTTTGTGGCAGATTACAAAGGGAATCCTTTTGTGGGGATCTTTAGCGGCCTGGACGTGCGAGAGGTTCCCAAGGTTTTTTTAATTTTTAAAGTTTTCAGAAAAAAATGAAATCGGAAAACCAGGTTTCGCTTGAGACTGTCTCACAATTTTATAAAGCCATGGAGCTTGGCTGATGTAAAATTCAAAGGGAATCTCAAGCGAAACCTGTTTTTTTTTATTGTTTTTACATTGATTTCACACAGAAAACACAGTTTCGCTTGAGACTGCCTCTGAATTCTACATCAGCCAAACCCAATGGATTTATAAAATTCAGAGAAATTTAACAAACTTGTAAAATTGTTTATATAAATACACATTCATATATATATATATATATATATAATAAGAATAGTACGAATAATAAAAATAATTGTTTTACAAATAAAAACAACTTGGGAACTTTCGCACGTCCAGGCCGCTAAAGATCCCCACAAAGGGATTCCCTTTGTAATCTGCCACAAAAGGATTCCTTTTGTAATCCGCCACAAAAGGAATCAATTTGTAATCCGCCACAAAAGGATTCCCTTTGTAAGTCGCCACAAAAAGATTCCCTTTGTAATCCGCCACAAAAGGGTCCCCTTTGTAATCAGCCACAAAAGCATCACCTTTGTAATCCGCCACAGAAGAAATCAGTTTGTAATCCCGCACAAAAGGATTCCTTTTTGGAACCCGCCACAAAAAGGGGCCATTTGTAATCCGCCACAAAAGGAATCAATTGGTAACCCGCCACACAATGAATCACTATGTAATCCGCCACAAAAGGAATCAAGTTGTAATCCGTCGCCTAAGGAATAAACTTGTAATCCGCCACAGAAGGCTTCACGTTGTAATCCGCCGCAAAAGGAAACATGTTGGCATCCGCCACGAGAGAGAGAGGGATAGAGAGAAGGAGAGAGAAGCATTAAGGAGAGGGGGAGGGAGAAGGAGAGGGAAGCATGAAACCTTCAAAGTGCCGAAAGCCCGCCATACCCATCCAGTCTGGAGCTCCTCAGGCGCCAGGCTGGATGGGCATGGCTGGCTTTCGGTCTTCAAAGGGTTTAAGGGCAGTTCTTTGTCCAACTCCGTTTCGCTCTTCCGTTCTCTCCCAATCTTGCGTTCCTTCCTCCTCCTCCTCCTCCTCCTCCTCCCGTGGACTCATTTGACGGAGATGATTACTGACGTTCCGACTGCAATCAAATGGACATGCGGACAGGTTAAATTCGTGAGTTCTTTTCAGGTGCGACGGCTATTAAGAACACGCGCGTGCAAGTTGTGAACGAGCAGCGATGCCTACATCGCAGATTCACCCGTCTCCTCCTCCTCATCATCATCATCATCCCCTCATGTTCCTCCTCTCCCCCATCCATCCTCCTCCTCCTCCTCCTCATCCTCGTTGCCGTCGCCGTCGTCGTCCCCCTCCTCGCCCACCCCCCCTTCTCCAACTCCTCGTCGTTCGTCTCTTGTTCCTCGGCCCCACCTCCGCATTTTACCCCGCCCTCGCCTCCTCCCTCCTCTCTCCTCCTTCACCTCACTGTCCCCCCTCCCCGCCGCCACCCCAGCTCCCTCCCCCCCCTGTCCTCTTCTGGCATCGCTGATCCCTCCTCGCCTCCTCCCTTCTCCCCCATCCCCGATCCACATGGCCACCCCTCATAATCATGGTCCCCCTCCTCCCTCCGCCTGCATCCTGCCACCTCCCTCCTGCATCCTGCATCCCCTCCTCCCCCATCCGATCCCTTCGCGTTGGTTTTTACCGTATATATATATATATATATATACCGATATAAATCTATAAAAATTCAGCTATACATACATATATACATATATATATATATAACATGCAGGCGGAATTGCACGCACGCGCACACTTCTTGCAAGTTCAGGCACCCCTACGCACGCGCATACACATATGCACGTGCACGCAAGGGAGAAAAGAGGGTGAGAGGGAGGGAAGGGGGGGTGGGATGGGAGATGAAAAAATGCGTGCGGAGGGCGTTTGTGAGGGAAGAATGGGCGGGCGGCGGGAGGGGTATGATGCCCTCCCACCACCTGCTTCTCCTTCTCTACATTGACCTCCCGCCCCCCCCCCTCAACTTCCCCCCATTATCCCGCGCCCTCGCCCTCCGCGCCGCCACCGCCCTCAAATACGAAGGGAAGGGGGGGGGAACGGTGCGAGGGAGGAGAGAGAGAGAGAGAGAGAGAGAGAGAGAGAGAGAAAAAAAAAAACAAAAAAAAAAATGGCAGCGGCTGCGTTGCAGAAGGAGGGAGGCGGGGAGGGGGGATGACAGCCGCTCAAACCATCCTCGCCGCCTGCCCCTCTCCCTCTCCAACCACCGCCACCCTCGATGTATGGAGTCATGAACAGCTAGTGGAAGGATGCGAGGCGCGTGGGGGAAGTCGCGGTGGTGCTGCAGGGAACCAATGAGGGTGGCATGGAAGGGCGAAGGAGAGAAAGCGAGACAGAGAGAGAGAGAGGGGAGAGAGAGAGAGAGGGAGAGAGATAACGAGAGAGCTGCAGGTAGTCGTGTTAATGGGGGCATGGTCCTCTCATGTCCCCCCTCCCCCTCCCTCGCGGATGCCATCCCAATTCCCTCCATCCGCCTTTTCTCCCTCCCCCCTTCGCACAGCGGCCCTTCCCCCATTCCTCTCTCCCTCCTAGTCGCTATCCCTCCCTTGTTTGAGGCGTGCGAGAGCGCGAGAGACGGCGAGAGGGATGGGGCAGGGGACAGGGAACGATGGGGGGAGCGGATGGGGACATTGAGATGTGGTCGCGGTGGGGGGCGGCCGATCTGGACGAATGGAGGTGAGGGGGAATTGGGATGAGGGAGGAAAGGGCGAGGTGTTGGTGGCGGGAGAACAGTAATTCCTCCCCTCCTTGCTCACACCACCACGGGCCCCTCCCTCATGGTCGTTAGTGGTGGAGGGATGTCGGGATGGAGGGGGGGAAGGGAACGCCGAAATATCGGAAATGGAAATAGGAGAGGAGGTGGCGGCGGTGGTGGTGGCGGATCCGCCACAAAAGGAATCAATGTGTAAATCCGCCACGAAAGGAATCAATTTGCAAATCCGTCACCGAAGGAATCAGTTTGTAAATCCGCAACAGAGAGAGAGAGAGAGAGAGAGAAATAGAGAAAGAGAGAGGGGGGGAGAGAGAGAGAGGGAGAGAGAAGAGGAAAAGAGAGAGAGAGATAATCATTTAAAATGAGCCAAGAGAGTGGCCCACGGGAGTCTACAGCCGCATCATATTTATGATCATTTGTTGACGCATATCATGTGCATCGTCTGTTGAATGCGTTCCTCCTCCTCCTCGTCCCCCTCCTCATCCTCCTCTGTTGTTAATCAATGTTTAGGAAAGGACCTGCGGCGTTCTCGAAGGTAGCACAGGAATGACGTACGCGATCCGGCTCAAAAAAAAACCTGGCGGGCGCCGCGGGCAACATAGGAAAACGAGGCCAGTCCTCCTCCTCTTCCTCCCCCTCCTCCTTCCAATCGTCCTCTGGCTTTCCACCTCCTGGTACTTACCCGCTTCGTCCTTCACACGTTCGCTAGTCCTCAGTATCACCCTTTGTCCTGGGAGTTCATCCCCCCCCAGGTGTTTCACTCTCCCCCCTTCGTTCCGTCTCCTATCGTTTCTCCTATGGCATGCGTCTCTCCTTGTTTTTGGTGTTTGCCCCTCTCCTTCCT